GAGAACGCCGGTCTGCAGGCGGCGCCTCATCATGCTGGAGGAGCAGGTCAGGGACGGGTCGCGCTGTGCCTGGGGTGTGACGGGTCTGCAGGCGCGCCTCATCATGCTGGAGGAGCAGGTCAGGGGCGGGTTCGCGCTGTGCCTGGGTGTGAACGGGTCTGCAGGCGCGCTCATCATGCTGGAGGAGGCAGGTCAGGGACGGATCGCGCTGGGCCTGGGGTGTGATGGGTCTGCAGGAGCACCTCATCATGCTGGAGGAGCAGGTCAGGGACGGATCACGCTGTGCCTGGGGTGTGACGTGGGAACGTTAGGACCCGCTGTCACATTTTTTCGCCCGGCTTTCCTCGATTGGAAAGTTTAAAAAAATCGGGGTATTTAAGTGCGAAAGGTAACTGACTTTATTACCTAAAACATGAATGACACAAAAAGTTGTCCGGATAATTGTTCATTAAAGAAAGTAAATTTTGTTTCAAAATTTGTAAATTTCAAACACTGCCCAGAGCTACAATGACTGACAGCATCACCCAAATTAGCATCATTTGGCTGAGATGGACTAGAGAAAATACAGTTTTGGAGGAAGGAGGTAGATCTATTTTTATGGAGGGCATACGATAAGGCAGTGCTTACAGTCTGTCCTCAGAACTCCGTATATTCTGCAATGTGTTTTATTTGGACGGTGTTCTGGGTATACAACCCTCAAACACCTGTGTCCAAGGATCTTTCCAGACTGCAATTCCAGCTGTAGCTTCTTCATTGGGATGTCTTTTGGATGATTTAGCAGCATCGTTGGATGCTAATGTAAGATCAGCATGATGCGCCGTGTGTCACTGAAGGTACCTGGTGGATAGGGTGGAGCCGTTGCCGTCATGAATGCACCACTGCGTTTTCACGCTAGAGAGATATGTGGGTCCTAGACATCCTTGTAGCGACCTTGTCGGTGGTGGGTACGTCGTAATGCGGCCGAATGACACGCTGGGGTTGGAAGAACATCCCCATTTTATGTCTAGTGCGCACTGTATAAATCCAATACCCATTATACTCTAATCCGTACTCAAATGTCACATATATGCCGATGACATGTCTATCGTGTATCAAATCATGTGTCAAGTTGTCTCACGACAGACAGCTTCGTATTTTTCAGCTTCGTGTTATTGACCGTGCTGTAGTGTGTTTGGTGCTGATCTTCCGGTGTGCTAGTGGCCGTGCTGTAGTGTGTGTGTGCGGTGCTGACCGTCCGGTGTGTTAGTGGCCGTGCTGTAGTGTGTGTGTGTTGTGCTGATCGCTGATCCGGCGTGTTAGTGACCGTGCTGTAGTGTGTGCGGTGCTGATCATCCGGTGTGTTAATGGCCGTGCTGTAGTGTGTGTGTGTGTGCGGTGCTGATCGTCCGGTGTGTTAGTGACCGTGCTGTAGTGTGTGTGTGCGGTGCTGACCGTCAAGTGTGTTAGCGGCCGCGCTGTAGTGTGTGTGTGTGGTGCTGATCTTCCGGTGTGTTAGTGACCGTGCTGATCGTCCGGTGTGTTAGTGACCGTGCTGTAGTGTGTGTGTGCGGTGCTGACCATCAAGTGTGTTAGCGGCCGCGCTTGTAGTGTGTGTGTGTGGTGCTGATCTTCCGGTGTGTTAGTGACCGTGCTGATCGTCCGGTGTGTTAGTGGCCGTGCTGTAGTGTGGTGTGTGCGGTGCTGATCTTCCGGGGCGTCTCAGCTGCGCGAGGTGGAGCTGCGTTCGGAGGAGCAGCTGGACTCGGAGCGGAGACGACACAAGGAGCTGATGCAGCGACTGGAGAGGGAGAAGACGCTGGAGCTGAGAACCAGACCATCAGGTCAGTCGTATCACACTCTCACGACTCCCTTGGGCACACAGGCATGTGCCAGCGCTGAGTGTGTGCTTTTCTCGTATAGTAAGCCCGTTGTATGTCATGGTCTCAATTTCGGATTTTTGGGTCTCCACTAGTTGCATTCCGTCATTAGAGTCGGTAGGCCTGAGTACATGAACATGTTACTGATTTGGCTTAAACTGTGCAACAGTTGCTCCATTAAGGCCGTTTTTTTAACTGCACCCGTGTGCGGTCAAACCGGGGCGAAACGTGGTTGTGAGATTAATTCTGTCTGATTTGCGGTGGCCAGTGCATCCAATCACTATGATTACATCCACTCGATTGCGGGGTCATCGCGTCGTTCACAAAAACACTCGGATCTGGCTGCAAGCCAGGTGCGGAGGCTCCGACTTTAGGATCTGGGAAACAGTGAATGCGTTCCGTTTTCACGGTATTCTGATCCATTGGACGCGCCGGTTGTGAAAGGAGGTGTTTTCTTTCTCAACCTCAATCCCGCCGCTTGTGACGTTAGAGCCAAGTGGCTCCAGCAACAGCCAGTGTCAGAGCCAGAGTCAGAGTCAGAGCCAGAGCCAGAGTCAGAGTCAGAGTCAGAGCCAGGGCCAGAGCCAGAGCCAGAGCCAGGTGGAGGAAGGCCGCAGTTATATCCGCGAGTCGCGAAGCCCCTTATGCCACATCACCTCACTCCGTTCAGTCTTCACATCCTGAGGAGCCGACCTGACGGTCCGTACCGCTCCCGCTCCGTCCCAGGCTGCAGAGTCTGGAGAAGGAGGTGGCGCTTCGCCGAGCGGAGGCGGCGCGCGCGCGTCAGCAGCTGGAGGCGGCGGCGGCCGGCCGAGCCCAGCTGGAGGAGCGGCTGGCCGAGCTGGAGGCGGGCCTGGAGGCGGCGCGCCTGGAGAGTCGGCGTGCCGCCGACCTGGAGCGGGCGCGGGCCGTCAGGAGCGGAGCAGGAGCGCACACTCCAGTCGCAGGTCAGTGGAAGGGTAGGGGAAGGGGGGGGGGGCGTGATGATGGCTGGGAGGGGAGATGGGAGAAGTGTGGAGTGTTGCGCTTCGGCACTTCGGTGTGGTTCGCGGAGTGTGGGACGGCGCGGTCGGAGACCTGCGGCGGGTATTCACGTGCGGCACTGCAGCAGCTAGCAGAGAGCTGGGACTTCCGTTTAATTGCGTCGTGGAAGTTGAAGCGCAGCCGACTCCTGGCTCGGAACTAATTCGCCTTGGGGCAATTTTGGCGTAAAAGGGATCACTCTTCATCCAGGCCGTGCCCATTACCCGTCGTGAAACTTTGTTCGAACTTCTTTGCGGCCTCTGGCAGTATGGTTTAGTGAGACCTGACCAGCCCTGCTTAAACCCTGGCCTCATGGACATCTTGTGTTACGGGCCTAAGATCTGTATCTTTCTCAACGGTGCCGGAGCTCTTTTTTGAGGCAGCCTGTCGGCGTGGCAGACCATCAAATGGTGAGCGAGTTCCCTGTATTTCCGACCTGTCGACCTAACGCCGTGGTCGAGCTCACCGTGTCCAGATTGCTGATCTCAGAGGGGCGGGCCGAGCCCTTTCGTGACCTGACCTCTGACCTCTGACCTCAAGGGATGGCCTAGCTCTTCCGTGACCTGACCCCTGACCGATAAACTCGGAGGGTAGCCAAGTTCTCCGTGACCTGACCCTCTGACGTACCGCAGGGGGTGGGCCGAGCTGTGGGTGACCTAACCTCCGACTGTTGACCTCAGATGATGGCCGAGCTCTCCCGTGACCTGACCATCTGACTCGTGACCTCAGATGGTGGCCGAGCTCATCCAGCGAGCTGGAGGACACGCGCCAGCAGGCCAGCCCTGCTCCTCAAGACCGAGTCGGACGAGTCGGGCGTAGTGCGGCTGCGCCAGGGCGAGCTGGAGACGGAGCTGCGGGAGCTGCGCCAACGGAACAAAGGTCAGCAGCGGCAGCGGGTCCACGGCCCGGTGACGGCCCCGGCGACGAGGCGGACTCCGTGACCGAGTGATGAGTCCAGGGCGGATCGTGACTGAGTGATGAGTCCAGGGCGGACTCGTGACTGAGTGATGAGTCCAGGGCGGACTCGTGACTGAGTGATGAGTCCAGGGCGACTCGTGACTGAGTGATGAGTCCAGGGCGGACTCGTGACTGAGTGGATGAGTCCAGGCGTCCCGTACTCGGCTGGGTGTCACGTGACGCGATGGCTGGCGTGAAGGCCACTGTTGAAGTAGGCATGTGTGGGGACATTGATGAGGACATAGCGGGGTGAATGAATCATAGACGAACAGATGCGGACAAGACAAATCATTGTTTCAAACAGGGCTCAGATGTCTTGCCTCAGCACTTGTGCAGACAGATTTTACGTGGTTGCCGGTCTTTGCATCCTTGCAGTTCAACCATCAAACCGGCCAAATAAGTATTTGCTTTCGTTCCCTCACTCCTCTGGAGCAGCACGTGTGGGCGGGTACCGACACTGGGCAGGACTTCAACCTCTCGTGGCCGATCATGTGCCGTGTGGGGAGGGTACCCACACCGAGCAGGGACTCCAGCCTCTCGTGCCGATCATGTGCTGTGTGGGGTGGGCATTCACATCGAGCAGCACATCATCCTCGCTTGTCAATGATGTGCCGTGTGGGTGGGTACCCACACCGAGTAGGACTTCATCCTCTCGTGTCGGATCGTGTGTGGTCGTGCGTCCAGAGGCATATGAAGCTCACCATGCTGACCGCTGCGCCACCCAAGCAGTTTGGGGGGTAAGCCGGCTTAAATTGCTTAAATCACTTTAACAATCACTACGCAAAAAAAAATTGCCACGATGCTACGTTGCTATCGCAGGCGGTGTTTGATCAGAGCCGTAATGGCGTCGCGGTGAGCTTTGAGCTTAGGGGATGCAAGGGGGTGAGGCAGAGTTTGCGGGGTCGAAAAACTCAGGTTTCTCTCTTTCGGATTTGGTTAACATTCGCGATCCAGCGGGCTTCACTTTGAGGCCAAGGGCAGGCCGCCCGGGCGTCGTCCCCCGGTGACGTCATTATCCCCAGACTGCGGCGCCTGCCGCCTCTGCTGACTGCCCCCCCCCCCCCTCCCCCTCCCCGCAGAGCTGCAGGAGAGCAACGAGGAGCTGCAGGCGCAGCTGCTCTCTAACGGCCTAGAAGAGGGCCGACAGCTGCTGGAGGTCGGGGACCCAAGAGCCTGGCCTTGGAGCTGGAGGACATGTCGGGAGAGGAGGTGCGTACTCGGCGGGCCACGTGGAGGAAATCCACTAAGATCAGAGGATGTCCAGGGAGCATTTATTTATCTCTGCTGGATGTGAATGAGTTTTCTATCTGTTTGGAGGGTGATACCGGTGTGCGGTGGGTATTAGTGTGTCGTTTAAGGCGCTGAGTCTTATTTCCAATGGAGAGAGAAGAGCCTCGTTCCTTTTGTTCTCTCACTCAGGACCAGCCACTGTTGTTCGCACGTTACCATTACCATAAAGGGTGTACTGGTCATCGCCCTGTAAAAGACAGCCAAAGAATGTCAGACATATCGATTGGTGGACATATCTCCAGCAAAGGAAGGAACATTTAAATTTGTTTTGTTTTGCCGAAGTTCGTTGTAACTAAGCACCTAAATGTGTTCGTGGAGTGTCCATGCTATATGACTGCTACAACCACCAGTCGACCAGCATTATCGATTTGTTTGGCGGGTGAACAGGTTCCACAATTGCAGTTCTGTTTTACTGCTACCGAGCGGTTTATTTTGCTTACATGCGTTGTCATGCACCTTTTAGTCGTTGGCGCTTTAAGTACCGCCCTTTCTTACCATTAAGACTGCAAGTTGGGCCACAGCGTTTTCATTATCGCTGAATTCATCCATAATTTGACTATGCTCAATCTCCCAGTTTTCTCGCAGAAGCTGCGGCTAGTAAACGATTGGAAAGCGTGCGTCACGACAAACGATTTCGCTACGGTGGGCAGATACTGAGGATTTTACACCTTCAGATACTGGGGATTTTTACACTTTCAGATACTGGGGATTTTACACCTTCAGATACTGGGGGATTTTGACAGCCTTCAGAACGGCTCGTGCCGCGAATGGTTTTTAATCTACATCTGAGACTTGCCCTGCCAGCCATGGCGCAGCATGTAGGCAGCCCGGGAGGTGAACACACACGGGCTTTTTCGTTTCAGCTCGTTGTGAATATACGACGTGAATAATGACGATATTGATCTATGAACACGTCCATCCGACATTAAAGGGAAGTAATTCCCCGTGAAGACCTAGATAGACAAGGCTTAGAGGCTATTCTAGATATAGTCTTTGACATGGCATGCGGGCGTCTAAAATTTAAATGACTCATGACGTAACAAATCCTACACTGTTCAACGACTGAGAAACATTAAAGCATGATAACATTCTTTGTGCGACATGCGTTGATATAAAACTGTCTTTTTCAAGGTCGATAGTGGTGAAACGTTGCAAAAGGTGAGAGGGGACGCAGATATGATTAACGGTTGTACGAGCTTTCTATTAACACTAACACAACACCACTTTTGACGACCACGCCCCCCCCCCCCTCCCCCCATGCAAGATTGCACGCGCATTCACGCACAGGGAGCAGCGGCTTTGGCCCGATATACTTGGTCACCAATCCATAGCGTGGTGCGGGTGCACTGAGGCAGCATGACAGGCTTATGTGTCACACATAGACCTTGCGTGCCCGCTGTGTTTGGTTTGCCATCGGCCGTAAGCTTGACCCTGACCTTATGGCACGCTTGTTTAATGTTTGCTGAACATCGCACTGCTGTTGGCACGCTGCATGAATGCATCTTGCAATGTATGGCAGAAACGTTTGAATGGGGTGTGTGCACCGCGATTGTGGAAGGTGGTGCTTCTACGACTACGACGACGTGTTTCAGCGTTTGGTGATTCTCTGCATAAAATCCGTGTATCGGTTGGTTGAGATCAGCCCGCCACGATGGCAATGACGTACAACGCGTAAATAGCGAAGGAGCTGGTGGGCCACCTGTTCGCGGTGTGCCGTCAAGTCATACACCGTTCGCATGTAAAGGGTTCGGTGAAATGCACCTACTCCGCCGCGCAAAATCCCCGACAGTGTAACCTGCATGGCCTGGCGGTGCTGAAGCGTGACCCAGGTGTCCTCCGTTCCAGCTGAAGAAGTCGCTGCTGGAGCAGCAGGACGTGAACAAGCAGCTGCGCACGTACATCGACGGCATCCTGCTCAGCTCGTGGAGAACTATCCGCAGCTGCTGGAGGTGAAGCACAAACAGTGATATGCACTGCCAGGGGGACGCCACGCGCTCTGCCCGGCTGGGACCCTCGCGACCGGTCGGAACGGCTGACGTGAACAGTCGCCGAGGCGCCGCTGGACGACCGACCAGCCGCGGCTGACCTGTCGCCGAGGCGGGGGGTCGCCGCGGGCACGGCGCGAACACCAGCTCCTCTCGCTCCGGGCCCACTCCGGCACTGTGTCAGAGACTGTACTGCGGCGAGGCGGCGCCACGGACGCATCACGCCGACGCCAGGCAGCGGCGCTGGCGCAGGGCGCGTGGGGCTCTGTGTCCGCCTCCCGGTGGCGCCGGTCTGGTGCTCTCAGCGACTCTGCGTCGCGCAGTGGTTGCTTGCGGTTTCTCTGCGCCACGCGCGCAGCACCGCGACGAGGCGGCGTTGTGCGCTTTTGCAAGAGCCTGCGTCAATGTCGTCACCTGGTGCAGGTGCTGCAGTGTTGAGCATTGCTTCAGACACTGGTGGCGCTGTCCGGCCTGGGGGGATACGTGGATGGTGTCGGCCATGAGGCCGCCCCAGCCTCTGTGCCTGCCTCCCAGATTGGCGCACTCTCGGCGGCGGAGGGCTGTGCGCTGTGGGTGGGCCGTTTTTGCAGCAAGTCGTCGCTCTTGTTCCTTTTGTTGTGTCTTGGCGTTATCAAGAAAAAAGTGGATTACAGCTAAATGTTTGGATCGGATGGATCAAAGGAATATCTCAATAATGCATCGTGCAAATGTGTGAGCACAATGGAATGCAGGGACTGCTGGTTAGAGACACCCAGGTGGGGTGTCAACTCTTTGTGTAGGATGGAAATTAATTTGATCGTGGCTCGAAAAGCTTTACGTGTGAGCGTACCACGTGCGTTAGTCACAAAAGTGTGAGAATGATGTATTCCTGATTTGTATCCGGTATAATCCAGTACACGTGAGCGCAGCTGTAGAATATATCGTGCATCGAGATTGTCCGGATCTCCAGTTCAAAGCGTTGTGCCGTCTTCACATGTGACGGATGCTTCGACTGCTACTTTCAACGGGCGTGAAATCCTGTGTCATAAAGAAGACGGTGGGTATAGGCAACCATATTAAGTTGAGCTCAGTACAACTGACCGTCAACGGCTTGGGTAACATCAAAATGCCCTGTTTACACCTGTGTAACCTTTAGATTGAGGCGAGCGCCGAAGAAGCCGTCCTCCGAAATCATAGGTGTTGCGGAGCTGTTTATTTTTTATCCAGCGACAATGGCGCAGCTGTTCTATCAACGATAAGGCAGTCATTCTTGGACACGGTCAGGAACTGAGTCAACTTGTACGTTGTCCTGGGACATTCTTCGAGAGAACATGTTCAGACAGGTCTTTAAGTGAAAACGCCAATAGATGCCAGATGTGCGCCGTAAGTACCTGTAACGCTACTGAATGTTATGAAAAGGAAATATTCACATCAGATTATGTCCTTCAGTGCCGTCACTTTTCTGAAGCCAGACAGATTCAGTCACCAGGCTGCGTCTGCCATGACAAGCGTCTGCTCCGGCCGAGGTGCTGCGCATGGTGCGGGTGTTGCCCCGGTGCCTGGTCAGAGCAGCGGGTTACATGACAGCGTATAACGTGGTTTTGATCACGCACTTCGGGCTCCCTCACCAAATCCAGTCCCCGATCTCAAGTTGCATTTCCATCTATCATAACACGGTTCGTTTGCCCGTATCAGCAACCGAGTTTAGAAGTGTTCGCGATTGTTACCAGTTCGTGGGAAGCCTTGCAGACAAGATCGCGCAAAAATACCAATAGCTTGCTCCTCTCCAACCCACCCCCGTCGCTGCCCGTTCCTGTACCCCTACGGAGCACGCACAGAATACGAGTGATTGTTCAGAAACCAACGTCCCGTAGCACGTCGTTGCACCTGGTCGGGGTCAACACTACATCTACATGCCACGCATGATGCATTTGACATGTTACGTAGCTTTAGATTGCACCTTTATTCCGTCCATCACATTTTTGTTGGAAAAGGTTGTTTGGTAGCATCAATTCTCTACCTTCACTGTGTAGCATGAACAACGTAGCTACTCGTATGTTGGATTAAAAATCCCAGTTTAGACCAAATCTAATAACCTCATGACCTCATAAAATGTCATGAACCAAAACACATCGTGTCATCACATTTACGCGCGTGATGTGTATGGCAGGCGGACTGATAGCGACAGTTTACAGAAATCTCATGTATTTTGTTTAGAGAAAAAAAATTGGGAGGGCGCCTCAAACTACAGCGGCCCTACAATGTTGCGTGTCAACACGCCTGAGGAATGCTGGCTGGGCTGGGATCCTGTTCAACTAGCATAAAACTTGTGACTAATCACAGGATCCTCCCGAGGCTCATTCACTTGTTTTTGGTCGTGTGAGGCTCTGGCCTTCTTGGTTTGGGACTGGCGAGACAATGGCATCCCATTGCCAATTCGAGGCAAAGAAAGCGCCGAATCCGAGCAAGGATTAAACAGTGAGCATTGTTCCAACCACATTAGAGCTCACCGACCAATGCGCCATATAAGGTATGAAGAAGCCATGAAGACAGGCACTTTTCGACAAAGACGGAAATGCATAATGCACTGTACTGATGGCGATTGCGTGCATCACGCAACAAGTGTCTGGATGCAATTTGTCACTCTTATGATATGCAATAAGCTTAGCTTGGAATATGCAATCTGAATGTATTATTACCTGGCAATTCGAAATGGTGTCCGCAAGTAGGAAGTAGAGCGCTTCAAATGCACGTGTTTTTTCTCTCGCAAAAGGGAAGCAAGTTTTCTTTCCCGTAAGCGTTTACTAACGGCACTTTTTCTCTTGCCCCATGCTACATCACATATCGCCAAATCGTTAGCGTCCTGTCTGCGAAGCTTAGTAAGCAATTGACATCAGTTTACCATCTCAAAATTGAAAACCGAGAAGATTAAGCTACTCGAGATGCGTTTTTTCCTTTCATCCTTTTTTTTACTTTCCCTGGTAATAACTTTGGGGTTAGGACTTGAATCGAATGAAACTTTGCAGCTCTTAGACAAGTCTACTGCCAGAAAAGAAGCACTTTTGCCATGTCTTGAGAGCATGGAACATGATTTTGGACTACAGCTAGGTGAAGATGGAACTTTTTGCAACATATGCATATGCATAAAACGGTCCTGGAGTTGCACTGCAGCCCCTAACTGCAAGGGCACAAAATACGTCACTACGTGCGCTCAACTGAGAAGTGAAAATTATCATGATCCAAGCTGCATCAGACGGTATACGGGGAGCTCGGCTGTTCAGAAGAAAAGACCGCGTTGCGTTGAAGGCAAAATAATCTTTGTTGGAACTTTCCCCTGTGTATGTCGCAAGGGCAGTGCCAATTGTAGCGCCGCCTTATCTCAGCTTAGAGGTGGCGATCATTAATTTTATAATTGTTTAAATGTTGGAAACATTTTGACATGTAGCCGGCCGGAATTCTTGCAACAATGCTTTGTATTATGGCTGAATAAATTGCCCTGGTTACCTATCAACGTGGGCCTTCTAAGAAATCGAGCAAACGCAAGTCATTATTGCTGGTGGGAAATCTGTGTTTCTCGCAGCACCAAACTTCATGTATAGCCTTCGTTCAGGCAGGGTTTGACCATATATGCAACATCTGGGCCTTGAAGTACTCGCGGGCCGTGCTGAGTCGGCGTGTTAGCGGCACTGGAGTGGTGTGTGGATTGACATATGCCATTATAAGTGTCCTGCTTGTCTGTCAGTGCCAGGATATGTCTGCCAGCATGGGACACAATGGAAGCCGGTGCCAGTAGCCGGCACCAGTAGCCGGCATCAGCCCGAAATCCTTGGCGTTAGTTGCTTATCTCTGTGCTTCAGCTGACACCGGTATCGGATTTTTTTTAAGAAGAAAACGTTGCATCTGTCAAAACCATAACTAACTTCGTTAATTAAGGAATGGTTATAGGGCTGGAGACACGAGCAATGCCATTATATAGCCCAGCACATTATCTTACGTGACGAACCAATGAATGATGATGCAACAAAAAAAATCACTGTCACATTGGGCATCGCATCACTTGCGCACTTCTTCTTACACGTGTTCTCACACATTCCTTACGAATCTAAAAAAGCAGCAGCTGTGCCCAATCCACAAATTAGAATGTTCGTGTCAACAATCAGGCAAAATGTGGCCAGCAGGTTTTGATGGTTTCCATTTTAAAATGAGCACCCATGCCCAGCCTTTTTGTGTTGATCGCTTCCTGTTATTTCTATCAAATGGCTCATGAGTCGGGCAATTTGATTACCAGGTTCAATCAATCGTTGAACTTTTACATCTAGTGTTTAAATTATGTCGTGTGCAAGCCAGAGATGAACCAATGTCAGTGGGGAATGATGGGATAAGCAGATCTGTGGC